AACAACCTATGAACAAATTCCTATGCACACTGCACATATCTTATTTTGAAGTACAAAAACGGGCAAAAACACCTGGTGAGCCGGATAAATGTCCTCGGCGGGCTGCATGTGGCCCGCAGGCTTTAGTTTGAGGACCCCTGATCTAGATATTAGATATTCTACTGAGATGTAAGTAGAAGAAAATTTGGGAAGACAAGAAAGTATAGTGGAGGAAGAACAAGCATTAAGGCGAGCTACAGTGAATCATCTCATAACTCAGAGACGACGATTGCGATGCCTCTCCATGCAGCACGTACCATAAAAGACGACACTACAGACCAGTCTGTAAGCCATTACCTGATGTCTTATGAGTCCAAGTCAACACCTTTCCAGGTTTGCAACTTAAAACTTTTTTAATGGCTTATAGGTGCTCTTACCACAAAAAGAGCATACACACAAAGAATTCACAGAGGGAAACGGGGACACATTAAATCAATCCTGCTTTAAAAAAAAAAAATCTATCCCGCTATTTTTCCACAACTAGAGTTTCGGAGACTGAGTTTATTCTTAACAAGCCATAGGTCCTGTTGCCGGACCCCACATATGCTAGGAAGAGCTTTCCTGCTATTATCCAGAACCTAAAAGAAGGGAACTCAGTCAAGCAATGATAGCAGTGAAAGCTCAGCCTCTTCTGTAAAAACGCCAGACCAAAAGAAGTCAAAGTGAACCAATACCCAGAAACCGTCTTGACAATACCTGCCAATTAACAGGGCAAATATCACTTACCAACAGCACAGTCCCCGGAGGGAAGATTTGTTCTACTGCAAACTGGCTGTAGAAACAGAATTTGGAAGGATGATTCTTAACCTTAAGAATACAGTTTCTGGCATCACACTGAGCTCAAATTCCAGCTCTCCCTCTTTCAACTATATGACTTCAGCAGGACTACTTAATTTCTCTCAACCTCAGCCCTTTCTACTGAAAAATGAGGGAAACAAAAATACACAGGGACTTTAAAAGGTCCGTGCAAAAATTCCATTTATCTTTTATTTTTCCAAGAGCTTCTGAAGCCCCCTTGTACATAGGATGGACAAATACGGGTGAGGGCTGAGCAGCATGATGCACATAATAATGTTACTGACCTGTGCATGTGTAGTGTTGAAATGGTAAATATTTTGCTACACATATATTTACAACAAAAAATTTTTGAAAGGTAGACTGAAGAACTGGGGGGAGGGGGATTTCCTAACCACCCCCACCCCTCAAAAAAGGATAGTTATGAGACTTGATGAATATGTCATGATTCAGAAGAAACTATTAACTATTAAGACTGTTATTACTATGAAGACTACTACAAATAGCTAACATAAAGGACTAGCGTTCGAGTGCTGTGGTAGGGCTTTTGAATAGACTACCATTGTCCATCTCCCCTTGTTCCCCCTTCTCCTATTTCCAGAAGACCTGGAACTACAATAATTCCTCACACTCATGAAAAGAAAAACAAAATAAAATTCCAGATTAGGAGTTAAAAAACATTTTTTTAAAGGTTCAAGTTTTGCCTCCGCCAAAAACGAAGCAGCCGGACCTTGGAGACGTTCTAACCGCTGTATAATCTTCCATTTCTACTACTTTTCAGGGTCCTCGTACGGCTTTCATGAGCTAAAATCCATAAAACTATACAGGCTGGGTGACTGAATCTCTCCCCGACCTCCACACAACTCGGGCAAGAATCTCCAAAGACAAGACCAGAGCCATGCAGTGATACGCCTCTGGAGAAAGAGAGAAGGGTTCTTCTGGAGATGGAAAACTGTGTGTATGCTGTCGATCCCAAGGCACAGGAACCTCGTGTGACCGAGGAGAACTGCCTCGTGGATTTTCCTGGCCATAAATTTTTCCTTTTTCCCCCTAAGCCGTAATCTTTACGGTGGCAGATCACCAGATCTTTTTCCTGCAGAAGCACTGCATGTATTTGAACTGACCCACACCTACGCAGTAGGAGCCTAGCACTTAATCACTGCCCTACCGGTGTTCCTTGGAGAACTCTGAGAACCCACCATATAGTCTTTGAATTCTTGGGAAGGAAAAATATCATCTTCTATAGCCAGCCCCCAAAGGCTCCTCCTCTCTTCCTATTTATTCATTATGAGTTCAAAGTCAGGGTCAAATGTCTGCTCTCCCTCCAGAAGCAATGAGAAGTGGACTTCCATTTCCATGTCACTCAGACTGTAAAAAGATCCGCAGCCTCCTAGGGAGGAGTACCACACGAACCAGTA